GCCAATGACCATCTGGATGATCCAGAGGAGGAATGGGAGAAGGTCATGTGGTCTGATGAGACAAAAATAGAGCTTTTTGGTCTAAACTCCAGGAAGAGTTTAGACCTGTTTGGAGGAAGGATGAGTACAGCCCACTGATCTATATGAAGACTGGATAGCTCATGACGTTCTAAACTGCCACCAAGCAGTGAAGCCACCGGAAGTGTTCGAGCGGCCATCTTACGATACCCTACCAGCAGAGGGCTCCAACGGCCGTTATACAGAGATCGGTAGCTCCGACGGCACTTATAAGATGACCCGCTGGGCATCAACAAGTGTAAAACGAAGGTCACAAAAGGATCTTGAAAAACTGCTCACAGGTTGTACTTTAAGCCCATATATAGTAATTTATTTGCACAATTGTCGCTATTTCCGTGTTGTTTAAAAAAAAAGGAATAGCCTGCTATGTTCTTTCCTACATGCTTTCACAGACGTATTCAAGTTTAAACCCAATAAATACGTATTATTCAATGCATTACTTCTTATAAATTTAATTAAATGCGTTTATTTAATATTTTCATGTCAATCCGTGTTCAGTTTGACCACGAACCATGCGCTGTCACTTTAATTCAGCGCCTGCAGCACAAACGATCTCTGCACGCACCGCACAGGACGGGCATCCGCGTGCAGTGAAAGATCCAACCTGTTGACATGGGTATCGTAAAAAAAATATGCACTGCAAACGGAGTAGGCCTATGTGTAAACCCCTTATTTACACTGCACACATCTGCAGCGCATTACGGTTCCGACAATGTTTTATTCCTACCTTCACGCGGTGTCAACTCACACCAGGAGCATTTCCACGTGATTTGCCGATTTGTGGGCGCAATCAGCTCCGGTAGCCGTGTCGCAGCTGTAACGCACCGCTGAAGTGTGCAGTGTAAATAAGGGGTAAATAAGAGGTGAAACAGATATACATTAACCCATACAATTTGTATTATGCATTTCCTGGACATGTTCTTGCTAACTAATCAAATATCTGTAAAACACAATTAGAAAGAGCTAAATTTTAAGTTCACAATTCACATATACTTAATTTTTAGTAAGCCGGAATAATTTCCGACTTTAAACAAATACCCATTTAAATGCTTTGGATGTTTGCGTTGTAAGACTGTTCAGGGAGACTTTAGATTTAAAGACGGTGTCTCGTTATGCAATGTTTTCTTAGTCAAATCATACAATTTCCTATTGATTCAATAGAACGCGTGGGCTCACTAGGGAATTACAATATGGCGGCGCGGTGGCTTCACTGTTTATGACGTCATGAGCTATCCAGTCATTCTATATAGATCAGTGGTACAGCCCCAAGAACACCATCCCAACCGTGAAGCATGGAGGTGTAAACATCATTCTTTGGAGATGCTTTTCTGCAAAGGGGACAGGACGACTGCACCGTATTGAGGGGAGGACGGATGGGGCCATGTATCGCAAGATCAACCTCCTTCCCTCAGAAAGAGCATTGAAGATGGGTCGTGGCTGGGTCTTCCAGCATGACAACAACCCGAAATACACAGCCAGGGCAACTGGAGTGGCTCCGTAAGAAGCATCTCAAAGTCCTGGAGTGGCCTAGCCAGTCTCCAGACCTGAACCCAATAGAGAATCATTGGAGGGAGCTGAAAGTCCGTATTGCCCAGCGACAGCCCCGAAACGGGAATGATCTGGAGAAGGTCTGTATGGAGGAGTGGGCCAAAACCCCTGCTGCAGTGTGCACAAACCTGGTCAAGAACTACAGGAAACGTATGAACTCTGTAATAGGGCTGCAACGATTAGTCGACGTTGTCGACAACGTCGACAATAAATATTTGTCGACAAATATCTTTGTTGTCGAGTAGTCGTTTGATCTCACGTGACCTAATGTAAGGGCCTGCAATCCCGCGATTTGACCGCTACGGCGCTGTAGCGCTAGAGTGTAGAGCAGCCCTTACAAATGCTATTGCGGTAGAAGAAAACACAGCGCGAATTATGACAGTGCAAACGAATCCGAACTAGCAAGGTTTAGGTTTGGGAAAGTTTCACAAAACTTCAAATCAAGAATGCTGTCGTGTTCAATACATGCAAGGCGGAACTTGCTTTTCACGGGAGCACAACATGCACGTGTGCAAGAGGAAACATCCCGGCAAAAGAGGAGCCGGTGAGAAGTGAGTGTTCTCCAGCTTACTAACCAGCGGTAAATCTCTCTTTATTAGAGAATGCAATACTACTAATAATAGTAATAATATTATCAATAGTAATATAATTACAGTAATGTGATGACTTATTTTGCATAGAATAAAGCTTGATCGAGCTTAGGAGTCAGGGCTGTTTTTATTATTGTAACACTATTAGTATATTAGGTATTATTATAGTCTTGCCTGTATTTTGTTCAATAATCATGAAGACTTACAAAACGAGATGTTATATCCTTCCTATGATATAAGAAGGATATCATGGCAGTTACTTTATCATACTATAAATTAAAAGGTGAATGAGAACATCTCTGTCAGCTCAATTGTCATGTAAAAAAAGATTGTAATTTTATTCTTATAATAATTGTTTGCAGATTAATATTTTACCATTCTTTGTGTCCTGAAGTAAATGTCCCTTTTTCTGTTTCAGTTCTAAGAAAAGCAGTGGGCCTATTAAACAATGCTTAGAGAGCATTTGTGTGTGATTTGAGTTGGACCGAAATCTGAAAACTTAAAGAGAATGACCTGTTTATTTGGCTCAAAGTTCATTAAAACAACTATTTCAAAAGCTGAAGTGATTTTATTTTTTTATATTATAGTTAGAATATGTATAACTCAATGTTTTAACTAATTGGAAAAGCTGAATAATCGTTCCAAACTTACTGATTAGTCTGCGGAATAATCGACGATTAGTCGATTAATCGTTCTAATAATCGTTAGATTAATCGATTATCAAAATAATCGTTTGTTGCAGCCCTACTCTGTAATTGCAAACAAAGGTTTCTGTACCAAATATTAAGGTCTGCTTTTCTGATGTATCAAATACTTATGTCATGCAATAAAATGCAAATGAATTATTTAATCATATAATGAGATTTTCTGGATTTTTGTTTTAGATTCCGTCACTCACACTTGAAAAGTACCTATGATACAAATTACAGACTTCTACATGCTTTGTAAGTGGGAAAACCTGCAAAATAGGCAGTGTATCAAATACTTGTTCTCCCCACTATATTCATTTGATGGCAAAAAAAAACTTTTTTTCAACACTTTGGTGTCACATGATTCTTCAAAATCACTGTAATATGTTGTTGTGCTCAAGAAACATTTCTTCATATTTAAAATAAAAACCTTTTGTAACAAATGTCTTTACTGTCACTTTTGATTAATTAAAGATATACTTGCAGGATACAAGTAGTAATTTTATAAGTCCAAACTTTTAAACGGTAGTGTATATCCAATCTTATTTGTTGGTACAGACTAACATGAATGTTAATGGTGTAAACAAACAACACAGAGTAAATGTATGAAAATAGCATACTTCTACTATTACTGATTTATTAATAAGTGATAAGATGGCCCTGGAGTGTATATCCAAAAACATTTCCCATTCAGTGATGCCTATGGTATAAAGTCAAACAGGACTTGATTGTTTGGTTTCTAATACCAAGAACACTAATGTGTACAGTGTAAAGAGTCAAGCCTAAAAACAAGTTTACAATGCCATATTTCTTTGTTAAAAAATAAAAATAAAAAAAAACTTGTAAAGCAAATTAAAGCAATTCCTCCTCACACATTTAAGTTAAAGGTAAGATTATTTTTACCTAATGTCTAACAGTACTGCGTGTATGGCATGATTAATATCAGTGTGCATAAATGAATGAGAAATGGTGCAGTAAACACACATAATGGAAGGAATAATAATTTCAAATGGGTCCCAGGATGATTAACATGTGCAAAATGGTTCAATGGTTTTAATACTGAAACAGTAACAAGAGAAACAAAAAAACAGCAGGAAGGGGGAGGTCAGTCAGTCTTTTGAGAGTCTTAACGTCGAAGCCTAAGCCTCAGATGTTCAATGAAACGAGCGTCTTCTAATTGGCTGAAAGTCTTTATTAACCACATGGCAAAGACTGGTTGGCCATACACTAAGCTGATTCACTCTTTTCCTATGGACTTTATGGACACTAACCATCTTACAAGATTATGCACAACTTAAGTTACCTACAAAAATCAGTATTTCATTTCTGAGGTTATATTCATAAATTAAGCATAAAATACAAAATACCATTGAAAAACTAAATATAGGTTACATATAAAAAATTTAAAATTATAAAAAACATAGATATAAAAACAGAGGAATTTATTACAAAGGCTTTTGGGGCCCCATAGCTTAAATTCCATTTCATTTCTTCCCTGGTTTGTGTCCATATTCAGAATAATTGACAGTATAACAGGCATCCAATCCACTGTGTGTAAATCATTACAGAAGAGTAACGTTAGCTAATAGCTTCTGCCAAGACGACGAGATACATGCAGCTTGTAATGTGAGTTAACAGCTATAACCGGGTGTCAAGTCATCCTCCACCTGTTACAAGGCTGTTATTGGAATAAGTTAAGTACTCGAAATAGTAAACCGTAGATTCAGAGATGACAGAATTGTTACTAAATTTTAACAATGTGTAACCTCTAAACTTGGAAAAGCTGGTCGTACCAGAGCCAATACCTCGCTAAACTATTAGATAAAAAACCCTGACATGTTCCGTCCGTGTCGTGTCAGGCAAATCTAACAAATCTTCAAATCGAATGAGAAAAAGGTATTCGGACCGGTCTCTACCCCAACCCCCATAAGTCTTGCTCCGTGATAGCTCATTAGCTCGCTAGCTGTGGCTGCTACACGATCAACCTCAGTAAGCCCACGACACACTTGTGCGCCACCGTGGCTGCGTCGATCAGTTCACTTCACAGGTTTAATACGAAAAGTTACCGATTACGGCTAAAGTCAGGCAGACGTACCTGTAAATATCGGTGTTTCCTTCAGTGGCTAACAGTGTGTGACAGCAGCTGTATCTCTCACAGGAGAGCCGAGGGTCATCTGACAGACTCTACCCACAATGCTTTGCGAAAAGATCGGGGCGTTTGTTTATGGTGGTCTTCTGCACCAGCAAAAGTTACAATGTTTGATAATGAAACATTTAGAATCAAATACTTCTATAATTATCTCAAATCGCCAATTGTACCTAATTAACGACATTCAGTTTAGAATCATTATTAATGTTTATCCTGCTGCTGAAATTTTACGGAAAAGATTTCCGTTTTGAAGTAGATTTTTGTGGATTCTGCTTTTAGAGTCTAAAACCATTAAACATTTTTTTTTTCCCGGTCACAATTCAGTTCTGACAGGATATTTATGTTTATGTAGATGGTCTCTCAAAAAAGATGTCATTGATGATGTTAAACATTATTATTACTATGGGTAAATATCATACAAAAGCAACCGGAATAGCCGTAAACCCTCGTTATCTTGTTTTAAATATGAATGTAAATGTTTAGCATCCATAAAATACTTAATGTATGAGTATCTTTCCTTCTAAGATTTTGTACATGCTTCAATTTTTTCTCCTTGCAACCCCCGTTCATGTCTGACGATTATGCTTTTGTTCTGAATATGCTATTGTTTATTTTATACACATTAAACTGTTTAATCATTAAAATGATAGATATGAGATTTAATTACGTTATTTGTGTATATTTTCATATGCATATTATTGTTCCATAATTGAGTTTGTAAATTGATATTGTTGAATGCAAAAAGTATGCATTATTAAATAATCCCAAGCAATAATATTAATAGGATTTTAAATATTGTTCTTTTGTGTTTTTTAACTACTTTAATCTATCTCTAGAGCCACAGCCAGATATCTATTGCACACTTGCTTTGCAAGGCTAAAGGGGACCGCTGAAAATTCAGAAAAACCTGCCCTAAATGATGTGAGAGTAAAATTGTCAACTAGCAACATAGATCTATAAATAACCCCAACGCTCAGACCCCATTTTCTATAAGGGACTTTTATTTTGAAACACTCACATCCTCAGACCAAATGCGCCGTTGAGAGGTCGGGCCTATTTAGGGCTTTCTTAAGTTAGAATTTAAACCGTTGGGACACAGCAAAAACATGGGCCTTTAGCTACACACAATCTTGAATGGTAATCTGTGTGTTTGATTAAGTAGGTTTTGTGTCGTCGCAGTGAGAACGCAGCTCTTCGTTTTCGCGGCCGTTGCGGAGGGAGATTGTTATGACATTCTCTTTGTCTCTCGCTGCACAAACCCGAGACTATATTTCTCGCTGAAAGAGCCTCTTTCAGCGATCGGTGCAAATCTAGCTATTCGTTACGACCTTATTCTAAATACTGCTTTTCGCCGACCTGTTCAAGGGGTTGGAACATGTCGTTACACGGTAAACGAAAAGAGATTTACAAATACGAGGCGCCATGGACCGTCTATGCCATGAACTGGAGCGTCAGACCCGACAAACGCTTTAGGCTGGCGCTCGGCAGTTTCGTCGAGGAATACAACAACAAGGTGAACCAAGAGATCCCAGATCGCTCTGCCTTATATCTCTACTTTGTTCTGTGTTCTTATGGCTGCTGACATCCTATCATATAGAGAAGTGTACTCGAAAATGCATAATAACATGGTGTATGGGTGCAGATGAACGGGATTTAGTAATGCCCAGTAACAGAGTGTTTGACATGGATGACATCCATAGAGCACAAATGTATTCCTTGAACATAAGTCATAAGTGTTTTGCCTGATTGCTTTAAAATAACTAACCAAACTGTTATTTGTATCTTGTTTGTGAGTCCTGGTTTGACAGCTGTCAGAAACTCGTACATCATGAATCCAGTAGATTCAATGTGATGTGGACATCAGCTGTTTGTTTTGTGATGTTCAGGTCCAGCTGGTGGGTCTTGAGGAGGAGAGCTCAGAGTTTGTATGCAGGAACACTTTCGATCATCCATACCCCACCACCAAGATCATGTGGATCCCCGACACCAAGGGCGTCTATCCAGACCTGCTGGCCACCAGCGGAGACTATCTGCGCATATGGAGGGTACGCTATGGGAACCATGCAGACACTCTTCTGTTACACATATTCAGACTTTAGTAATGAATGACTGAACTTCAAGACAACATCAGATGAAAATGCATATCAATGCATGTCCCTGGTCTTGAACATTCATCAATGCACAACACATTGGAGTCCCACTTTATATTAAGTGGCTTTATCTACTATGTATGAATTAATCTTTTGATACAACACACTTATTGTGTGTACATAAATTTTACATTCATCATCACCATCAACTTTTATTTCCAGACTCTTGGTCCATTCAGAAGGCACAGACATAACATGCAACATACATAAAATGGATACATACAAAAATATAAGTAGATAAAAATATAAGATATAAATTTTTTTTTAAACTACAATACGGCATTTCTATAAAAGACACTTATACCAGTACACTTATACATTGGAGGTGTTTTTTAAAATAAAAGTACATTGTTATTACAGCTGTAATTAATTTGTTTGTAATTTGTTGACCATTGCCTTACAACTTAACTGACCCTTAAACCTACCAATACCACCAAACCTGTCTCTAACCTTACCCGTATCCCACCTTAATAGCAGCAAAAGTGATTTGCAATAAAATATGAACACAATAAGTACATTGTACCTAACAATTATTTTTTATAATGTAAGTAAAGACGCCTAATATAAACTGAACAAAAAAGTTTTAAAAATTCTACTTAATTATATATTCTGTTCCTCTGATACAACTTTCCTTTTCCACTTACGTCACTTGTGCAATAGGCAAATAGCTGTTTTTTGCTGAATATTGTTTCACTCTGAAGTAATTCAAATGACAGAAGTTGCAAATTGCATTACACATTGACTTATATGACATTGAAATGTCTTATGATTTAAAGATCGATTATTAAATTTAAAGTGAACATGAAATTATGTTCACAACCCATTTACTTCTATGTTGTGGGGCTTTATTGGTCAGGACTTGATTAAATCCATCTGTAATTGATTTCTTGGTGAAAGGTCTCATATTTCAAATAAATGAATTGATGAATTGTTCACAATAAGACTAGGAATGTGTATTAAGAAAGTAAAATTTATTTTAATTTAACTTTCAATGATCAAAGACTCTCTAGCTTTAATACTGTGAAGCAGAACTGTAGAAACACAAACACTTAAATGAAGTGAACTGTCTGTATCTTGTTGTCAGGTGAATGACACGGAGACTCGTCTGGAGTGTCTCCTGAATAATAACAAGAACTCTGATTTCTGCGCACCTCTGACCTCTTTTGACTGGAATGAAGTGGACCCCAATCTTCTGGGTAAGAGAACATGTAGTCAGTCAAGTCACCTTCATTTATATAGCACTTTTAACAATATCGATTGTTTCAAAGCAGCTTTACAGTGATAATAGGGAATTAAAGTAACAGAGATTGTTTTGGCTTTACAGCAGCTCTAGAATAAAGTTATTGTCCTGCTAAAGTTAGTTTTGATTGATTCACTTCAGCCCGCTAACACGACACTGTTCTCACAGAAAACCCTTAATGCGATCCGGCCGCTCATTTGCACAAAACAGTGCCTGGTGGCTCGAGAACGCAAACCATAAAATAGGATCCAAGGTACAAGCCATCGCTTCCGCGTAGCCACGTGAACCGGAATTATCCCGACAACGTTTTATCTGTACAAAGTAGGGATGAGTCGCGATCTTCGAATAGTCGAACTGCGTTCGAAATTCGATCATAAAATTGTTTATTCGAATATCGTTATATTTTCGCACAATTCCAATGTGACATAATTGACGGCGCGCCTACTGTCACAGATCGCGCAGCAGGGTATTTTCGTGTCGGGGACACAAGGTGTCACTAAAATGAATGAAACCCCCTCCTGCGCGATCTAGGATACCAGCGTTTTATACATAGTGTAAACAAACAACAGAAGAAGCATTGTCATGACCGTTAACTCTGCGCCCAACAGTGGTGGGTAGTAGACTAACCTTTACTGTCTATGGTAGTAGTAACCGTCTATGGTAGTAACAAAGTAGGCTACATTTACTTCACTACGTTGGGCGACGTTCTTCTCGTTACTTTATTTTAATGCAATACATGTTGTTAAATGCATAGTTTATTCCAAGCGCGCGGTGTCTTTTTTATGGGCATGAGCGATGCTCCATTCACAAATGAATCACTCTTTTGAGTCGATTCTGTTCAAAGACTTCATCAAACAAGTTGGCAGATCTGTCTAAATCGGTTCGCGAATCAGTTTGAATGATCTGTTCAGTTCCTCGCGCACTGAATCGTCTGAAGCGCTTTCAATTCACACTCGACACAGAGTCGTAACAGGAAGATTTAAGAACATCAAGAGTGTTGGATGAAGTGGCCGTGGACCTACAGTTTAGTCTAGTGAAAGCAAATCTGCAAATGCATCATATTTTTGCCAGCGATGAAGATCTAGTTGAACATCTTCATATGATGTCTGTGAATGAATGATTCCACAGGACGATACATTGTAGTTCATTTCATTCAGGTAATACATTTTACAACCAAACAGATTATTACTCGACGATAGCACTACAAGTATGATGACATTATCCGTTTTTTGGACATATACATTAATTTATAGGCTACATTAAATAAGCTACCATTGTCCAGTTTATGAAATGAACACCCGCCATCCCGCGGTAATGTGTGTGTGTGTATTGCGCAGTGGCACACGAATAGTTTTGATTGAAACTAATTTGTTTAAAAAGTAGGCTTTTGCAGTAACAAGGCAGGTTTGCATAAAATCATTATGACTTTTTTTTTTTATCTAACGAGCATCTGGTTTGGCGATGCAAAAACGGACTGTCGTGCTTATTTTTTTTCTTTCTTCTATGTTAACTACCGGTATGTTAAAAAAAACGACGAAAACATGTTAATTGTTCGAATAATAAACAGTATTTTTGAAGATAAATCGCTAAAGATATAATTGGCCTCCCTTTCTGTTATTGTGCGTTTTTTTTTTTTTTTTTTGATTTTCGAACGATAATCGACTTTTGCTCCTCGATTTTCGAATGGCATTTTTGGCAGAAATTCACATCCCTAGTACAAAGGTGAGGGGAAGGGAAGGAGGCCTTCACAGGGGAGAGACTAGTTGACACTTAAGGACTGCGTTGTCGTCGTGTCCAGGCAGGTCCTTCATCAGATCCGGATACGGCCTGTATCCGGCGGACTGCGGTAAACCTCGGGATAAACAGAGAGACTATTAGCATGTAGAATATTAGCGTAGACGCCATTCTTCTTATGATGTAACGAGTACATCAGGATTTATGGGAAGTGTTCCCGTATCTGGCTGACCTAATCTATGCAGCCTAACATTGAATTATAGAAGTCTATTGTGTTATGTGTATGCTAGGTCAAAGAGATGTGTTTTTAGTCTAGATTTGAACTGACAGAGTGTGTCTGCTTCCCGGACAATGTTAGGAAGACTGTTCCAAAGTTTTGGTGCTAAATAGGAAAAGGATCTACCGCCAGCAGTCGATTTAGATATTCTAGGTATTATCAACTGGCCAGAATTTTTAGATCGCAATAGGTGTGAAGGACTATAATGCGTTAAGAGCTCGCTCAAGTACTGCGGAGCTAAACCATTTAGTGCTTTGTAAGCAATCAGCAATATTTTAAAATTTATACGATGTTTAATAGGGAGCCAATGCAGTGTTGACAGAACCGGGCTAATATGGTCATACTTCCTGGTTCTGGTAAGAACTCTAGCGGCTGCATTTTGGACCAGCTGTAGTCTGTTTATTAAGCGTGCAGGGCAACCACCCATAAAAGCATTACAATAATCTAGCCTTGAGGTCATGAACGCATGAACTAACTGTTCTGCATTTGTCATTGAGAGCATATGACGTAATTTAGATATATTTTTAAGATGGAAAAATGAGTTTTTACATATACTATTCACGTGACTTTCAAATGAAAGATTACACACCCAGGTTTCTAACCGACGACGAAGACTTGATGACCTACGACGAAGACCATCATGTGTTAGACAGTATAGTTAGTATGTGAGGACGTTTTTTGTCCAATAATTAGAATCTGTTTTTTTTTTTCAGAATTAAGTAGTAGGAAATTACTGGTCATCCAATTTTTTATATCAGCTATGCATTCCATTAATTTTGTGAATTGGTAAGTTTCGTCAGGGTGTGAAGAAATATAGAGCTGAGTATCATTAGCATAACAGTGAAAACTAATGCCATGCTTCCTAATGATATCTCCTAAGGGTAGCATGTACAGAGTGAACAGCAATGGTCCTAGTACTGAGCCTTGTGGTACGCCATACTGAACTTTTTATCAATAAGACATCTCTTCATTTACTGCTACAAACTGATAACGGTCAGATAAGTATGATTTAAACCATGCTAATGCAATTCCACTAATGGCAACATAATTTTCAAGTCTATTTAAAAGAATGTTGTGGTCAATAGTATCAAATGCAGCACTAAGATCAAGTAACACTAATAGAGAGATACAACCACGATCAGATGATAAGAGCAAATCATTTGTGACTCTGATGAGAGCAGTCTCAGTACTATGGTACGGTCTAAATACTGACTGAAAATTCTCGCAGATACCATTTCTTTCTAAAAAGGAACATAGTTGTGAGGATACTGTCTTTTCTAGTATCTTTGACAGAAAAGGTTGATTCGAGATCGGCCTGTAATTGACTAATTCTAGATCAAGTTGAGGTTTTTTAACAAGCGGTTTAATCATAGCCAGCTTAAAAGTTTTTGGTACCTATCCTAATGACAAAGATGAATTAATGATATTAAGAAGAGGATCTATGACCTCTGGAAGCATCTCTTTCAATAGCTTAGGGCAGGGCTATTCAATTAATTTGGAATTGGGGCCAGTTCATGAAACTGAGGCAAAATAAGGGGCCGGAGAATATGAGTAATTATGGTAATAAATAAAGAAATTACAACAACATACTGAAGGAATCAATATATTCTATTTTGTAAATGCAGAACAACATATGCACATTGTGATGCACTAAGACTCATAGGCCAAGGGAATTTTTACATTCAAATGGCAATACAATGTTGAAAAATCAGAGACACAGATAATTAGAGAAATGCAATTAACCAACAGAAAACATCCACTTAATTGCACATAACTGTAACAACACAACTTTACAGCTTGTTATCCTCAACAATGAGGAGATAAATTTCAGTGTTAAAAGTAAAGAGGGAAATAATTCTCAGAAACATCAAACTGTCCCCTTTCTCCACTGGCTAAAAACAGAAATGCAGCTAAATGGTAACTGAATACAACTCAGTCTTTTTTACTTCTATAAAAATCCATTCAGCCGATCTCCGGTTCTGGCGGTACCACTTTTAGCATAGCTTAGCATACATCATTGGAGTTGACAAGACCATTAGCATTTCTCAAAAAAAAAATGACCAAAGAGTTTTGATATTTTTCCTATTTAAAACTTGACTCTTCTGTAGTTACATCGTGCACTAAGACCGACGGAAAATGTAAAGTTGCGATTTCCTAGGCTGGTATGGCTAGGAACTATACTCTCATTCCTGCGTAGTAATCAAGAAACTTCAATGCCGTACCATGAGTGCAGCAGGCGTAATGATATGACGCAGCGCCTGAAAATAGGCCACCTTCCGTCAACACAACGGAACTATTTTCAGGCGCTGCGTCATATCATTACGCCTGCTGCACTTCAGGATTTAGCATTAAGCTTTGTATCAGTAGAAAATTAGTAGTATTTTCGAATTACCCTGCTTCCCCCCCTCATATCCCCCTGATATGAGAGAAAAATGAATTTTTAGTCTGGAAAAAATCCTCCGATGACGTCATTTTGCGTCATCGGAGGATTTTTGTGCCAGAGGCTAAAGACTACAGCCAGTGTTCCGCATGTGTTTTCACCACGCCCATATGGGGCGGGATCTCACTCACAGAATGTAAAGATAGTGTCAGCCATCTTTCTGTAGAAGCTAAGCTAACAGGCTCTTGCCTCTTGGTATGTGTAGAAAGTTTGTATAGTAGGCTAATCACGATGGCAGAAGGCAGAAGGGGATTTCGAAGATCTGTTGCGAGAATCTGATGCTCGCGGCTACCTGTACGAGCCGCAATACAGCGATAAACAGTTGCGGGAGATGGAGGAACAAGAGGCGGCCGGAGCGAGACCTGAGCCCGACCAGACTCGAGCTGAGGCGGACTGGCGCCGTGTCAGTGCTCTCGCTGTGCGCCTATGGTAACAGATAGAGTCCTATTGCTGTCGCGAATCTTTTCTTCTGGGCGAGATCGCTGAATCCGCAGAGCTTTGAGTGTAAAAGTGTTAATATTAATTATTTTTTTAATTAAAAGTTATAACTCACATTGGTTGTGGTTCTTTTTATAAACCTTTTTATGTTACTAGAGTATGGATTAGCCTAGATAATGTATTAGCTTAGAGAAATAGTGATTTCAATTGGAGGAAAACAGTTCATATGCAGAGCTACTAAGCTACTCTGTTGACATGGTCCTGCCTTGCATCATATTTTTAATGTGAAAGTCTAAGTTGTGTTATATACATTAGGCTAGTACATCCCGGTACAACGCAATTTAGAACCATTTCGATGGAAATTTATCAAAATAACTCACGATGTATCAAAGCAAGCCTAGTTGTATCCATTTTTCGGATTCTGCCGCCTGTAACCGGTAGGCGTGGTTTGAGAGTGGCCTCGTAAGGGCAGCAAAGCAAGTGCATTCTGGGAGTTGTTGTCTTTCAGCCACATGATGAAAAAATACATTTTCTGCCTTTCAGTCTAGAATGCTTCAATTTAAAAAATAATTTCACATTTCTACTATATAAATGACCAATATTAAATACACATTCATCTTCACAGAGGTGAAGTATCCCTTTAAGCGCAAAGGAGCAACTGTGTCTAAAGTGCTGGAAAAGAGAGAGTCAAAAGTTTCTGACGCAATATCGAGTTCTTCGAAGCTATCTGGGATGCTGAGGAGATGAAAATGATCAGGAATATTATTAATAAAGTGATCTTTAGTGGCAGAAGTGACCGTCTAACATATTTGTAACACGGAGTCGACTTTGCAGCCTTGGCTATATTATGTTTACACGAGACTAGATAATGATCTGAGATGTCATCGCTCTGCTGTAGAATTTCAACGGCATCAACATTAATTTCATGCGATAATATTAGATCTAGAGTATGATTACGACAGTGAGTGGGTCCTGACATGTGTTGTCTAACTCCAATAGAGTTCAGAATGTCTTTAAATGCCAATCCCAATGCATTTTTTTCGTTGTCTACATGTATATTAAAATCACCAACAATTAGGGCTTTATTTGCAGCCAGTACTAACTCTGATAGAAAATCAGCAAATTATTTGATAACGTCTGTATGGTACCCTGGTGACCTGTATACAGTAGCCAGCACAAATCTGAAACGTGATTTATCATTTACACTAGATTAGATGGTGTTACATTAAGCACCAACACTTCAAAATAATTATATTTAAAACTAGACTTCTCAGTAATTCAGACAGATAGTCACAGCCTATTTGTTTGGCTGTGCTGTGATTAAATTGATTAAAAATTATTTCCATTAATAAATGTTCTCTTGGTAACTGACTAAAATAAGTTTAGTTGAAGTACTAAAATTATTAAAACTATAAGCTAAATAGAAGTAATAATAAAAGTTAATAGAAAAGCTAATAAAAATGACAAAAGCACACAAAATTACTATTAATAGCTACCATAATAGTATATGTTAGGTTGCCAGGTTTTCCCCCCCACCCTCATTACATGGCTTGGGACTCACACACACTCATTCACACCTAGAGCCAATTTGGCATGTCCAGTCCACATAACAACAGGGAGAACATGCAAACTCCACACTAGAGCTGCGCAATAAATCAAAATATCGCAAATGTACATTTCGTGATATGCATATCGCATCGGCTTGCAATAATTGGGGTCATAAACCAAAAACAAAGACACACTGCTCTTGACTGAATAACTTTTTGTGGCTTTAATAAGAATCAGTGTACATTTAATTCATACAGTGAAGATTAAGCAGCATTTTATTTTTATATTTGATTATTCAGTTTCTGTTGTTAAATAATCCTAATGTAGGCCTACCTGAAACCCTAAACACCTTGGTTACACTGATGTTAAAATTACACTTATTATGCTAGAGTAAAACACTGCTGTTCACTTTCAGAAGTTGTAGGGATGCTTTCTTCTGACAATAAGAATGTGAAAAATGTATGTTGGTTATATCATTTTAAATATAATTTAAGTTTATTTTCATCATTTAAATCTCACTTTAAGCATTATCATAGCGAAAATTGCATTATTTAATGAGTTATCGCAAATCGTGCAGTCTTACTCCGCACAGAAAGGACTCTTGGCTCATCCGGGGCTCGAACCGTGGATCTTCTTGCTATGAGGCGACAGTGCTACCCAACACACCAATAGTATAAATAATACTTAACACTGTTGTTTGGTAGGTTTTTTTTTTTGTTTGGTTTTTTTAAATACTATCAGGTTGTCGTCATGTATGTGTGTGTTTTCTGTTTTTTCAGGCACCTCTAGTATTGATACCACCTGCACGATCTGGGGTTTAGAGACAGGACAGGTTCTGGGAAGGGTCAACCTGGTGTCAGGCCATGTCAAAACACAGCTAATCGCTCACGACAAGGAAGTGAGTAAAAATTCACCTTAGGACTTCAGATTCTCATCTTTTAACTGGCGGGACATTTTCTATCACTCTACTTTTGTGTACTTTGTTGCTTTCTTTGTATAAATCAAGCATTTTTGTTGGCTTTAAGGTGTATGACATCGCATTCAGCCGTGCGGGTGGCGGTCGGGATATGTTTGCGTCTGTGGGAGCCGACGGATCTGTGCGCATGTTTGATCTGCGGCACCTGGAGCACAGCACCATCATCTATGAGGACCCTCAACACCACCCGCTGCTGCGCCTGTGCTGGAACAAACAGGACCCCAACTACTTGGCTACTATGGCCATGGATGGCATGGAGGTCTCTCTTTTAGTCCATTTTACTTTATTAGTACATTTGTCCTCATCTTTACTCATGTCCCTCACTTTTTGCTGTTGTATTATTGTCAGGTGGTGATTCTGGACGTGCGTGTGCCGTGCACGCCAGTGGCTCGGCTCAATAATCATCGTGCCTGTGTGAACGGTATCGCATGGGCGCCACACTCCTCCTGCCACATATGTACAGCAGGTTAGAAACCAGCCCGTTCACATGCACACATACTACAATACAGTATGTGTGTGGATGAATATATATATATATATATATATATAAATATATATATATATATAAATAAATGCATTTATTCAGCAAGAATGCATTAATTTGATCAAGAACGTTTTTAATTTTTCAAATGATCCTGATATTAAGCAGTACAACTGTTTTCAACATTGATAATAAGAAGAAATGTTTCTTGAGCATCAAATCAGCATATAAGAATGATTTCTGAAGGATCATGTGACACTGATGACTGAATTAATGATGCTGAAAATTCATTTTACCATCACAGGAATAAATTACATTTTAAAATATATACAAATAGAAACCCGTAATTTTAAATTGTAATAATATTTTACAATATTACTGTTTTTACTGTATTTTTGATCAAATAATAAATGCAGCCTTGGTGAACATAAGAGACTTCAAAAACACTAAAACATCTTACAAACCAGTTTTTGAATGGTGTTTGTGTATACAATTTGCGTTAATAATAGTATATTCTATTTGGACTAAATGTTCAAATAATATTAAAATATGAATGGTCCGATAGGGAATGTGTCAGTTCTGTTATCCTTATTGTTGATGTTTTTGTTGCGTCAGTATAAAGGTCCGTTCACACCAAGAACGATAGCTGTAACGATATCTATATTAGTGTTCACATCAGCGGACAATTTCGTTGTTTATTCTAAGCGTGCGCTGCAGTTTTGTGGGCTGCAAATTTAAAAGCTCAAGCTCTTTAAAGCAGGATGGATTCTGATTGGCTGTCAATGTTTTCGTTGTTCATCAGCTTGGCTAAATTGAAATCTGAAAGTGATTCCATCGATTTCGTTTCTCTATATACGGTTATCGATATAGTTGTGGTGTGGACTATTTCTAATGCTATTCTTTTATATTTAGAATGATTTTAGATTTTTATAACTGAATCGTTATAGTTTTTGTCCTTGGTGTGAACAGCCTTAAGACTGTAGCAGCCGTGACAGTGCTGTTTCATTATAAGTCTTCTTTACCTGGCCCCCCTTTTCTTTTAAATCCCACTGTAGCGGACGATCACCAGGCTTTGATTTGGGACATCCAGCAGATGCCGCGGGCCATCGAGGACCCCATCCTGGCCTACACGGCCGAGGGAGAGATCAACAACGTACAGTGGGCCTCCACTCAGCCCGACTGGATCGCCATTTGCTACAACAACTGTCTGGAGATCCTGAGGGTGTAGAGCCGAGGCTTAAAGTGCCCCTGTGCTTCCTGTGGGGGGCATCGCTGGGAAAGGGTCTTTAATAAAGCAGAGACTTGTTTTCTAAAGTTCCTGAGGTCTAGAGATTTCAAGCGGGAAACGATATGAACGGGCCTATGGGAACAACGGTCTGAACAATGTGTGTACAACTTTTGTCTGGAAGAATGAGACGGCGTGAATGAGTATCTGTGTTTCTGCACATTATATTGGTCTGTTTTCCTACCTGCTGTCCCAGAGTCCTCATCATGGGATCTTAAACACATCTGTAATTACTATGATTCTTGGCCATTTGTGTTGGGAGAGATACATGTTTATTCAGTTTGACCGGTAAAAACTAGGATTGTAAAGATTTGCCAACATGGACATCCAAAACAACCATTTTATTAAGATGTAATTACTTCAAAGATTGATACAGTTTTAAAGAGCCTCTGAACTTCAGATCCTGCTTATCATTTCAGGAAGGTGCCATTTTTTTTTTTTTTTTTTAGCTTTGGAAACTTAAATACCGTAGTATGGGGATAAAATGCTTGACGTCACTGCAAAACATTCATAATAGTTCTTCAGACACGCTCATAACTCACATAGCGGTTAGTTGCATTGTTGACGTCAGTGTTTGAGTGGAGGATATCTTGAGCAAAATGTTATTTCTTTTAAAGATGCATTACTGCTCACTAATTGTGAGAAAGCTCCTGTTATATTTTTCCCATGTTAGTTTTCAAAATAAGTCAGTCCCCTTTCAGCATGCTTGTGCTTGAAGTGAAATATGTACTGTATACATATATAAATATTATGTACAAGGTAGGACAAACGTGTCACTTTTCAAGAATCATTTTGCATTGCGAGTCATTTGGTCTGTTCATGTTATTCATTGTTCTGTTGTTATGCAAATATGATGTAGTAGTGACGCCACTCTTCGGTCAAGACCGAAGTCAAAAGTGAGTTTGCAAGGCTGTGTGGGATCGTCATCCTCACCTCACACTCTTAGATGGAGTGCTTATATGTAAGTAGTTCTCTGTGTGTCCAGCCATAATGCTTTTCTATTAATAAACTCACTTAATAAACTCTTGTTCTTTCATAAAGCTTACAGTGGTAATTCATCATGTAATGGCCAGACAACTAACATTTTGGTATGCTCAATATATTGATTGTTGGTGGATGTTACAGATTGGTTTTATTTGGTTAGAGGAAATGAGCATGCATGATTAAATATCTATTTTATATTTTGATTTAATTTTCTTGATAAAAATTTCTATGATCTAACGCTCAGTTTATAAATACTAATAATAACACTGTTGAATGTAATCTTTAGCAAAATATAGAAATTAATATCCGTTTTTCATAGTTCATTATAATGTTGTAATGCCTGAATTCACTTTTAAAAAGCATTTAAAAAACTTTTATTTAGATAAAATAGTAAATGTGTGTGGATAGATACATAAATAGTATGTAATAGCCAGCTATCGCTTATAACCAGTGTTATCTTTAAAACTAAAATTATAAAAAGAAAATGTTTTTGGTATTGGAATAAAGCTGAAATTAAACGACTATACGAAAAACTTAAAATAAAAAAACCTAACTGAAATAAGTAGGCTAAAGTACTAAAATTGCTAAACCAGAAACAAAAAAGAGGCTAAATAAAAATATAAAATAAAAATGATACAAAATTACTAAAACAGACTAAAAATTAAAATAGAAGCTAATTCACAATATTAATATATTGCATGAAGTACTAAACGCTGATTATAACTTGAAAATAATGATAAGCTTGACTATTTTAATATCAGTGCATCTCTAGTAAAAATGAAAATTAAGAAAACCAGACCAATGAAAATAAGGACAAATAATATTGATAGCTTAAACCCAGTACAACATTAGTACTTCTTTATAAATAACATTTAATCTAAAAAATATTAATAATAACAGTTGTGTGCTTTTGGAAACCTTGACAGTCCAACGAAGGTTTCTAGTCATTTTACATACATTCATCTGCTTACATTGCAGAGGTGAAATTTTACAAAAGCAGTCCTTCACTTTCAAATCAGAACGTCAAGAATTCGTGAGAAAATTCTCAGAGACAGATCGCAAGTCTAAACATATCCACACACAGTCACACCACCCGTCAGCAGTTAAAATAACCACTTCAGTGACAGAAATATCATTTCATAACCCTGAATTCATGCCCATTTGGTTACTGAATCCAAATATATACAAAGATTCATTTTGTGCCAGTCATTTGATGTAGTAATACAGTAGATTTGGGTTATATATATACACACACACACACACACACTCTCTCTCTCTCTATATATATATATAGTTTAAAATGATAAAAATCTATACATTGAAAAGAAAATCAAGCACATTTGCAATATCAGTACACACAAGCAACTCATACTTTTAAAGCCCGGGTATGTGTCATATTTGTCCTGGTTTCAGTGATGCTGCTGCCTCAAGAGGATCTGCCTCGAAATAACAGCTGACACAAGAAGACAGGATGGAGTTTAGAACGTAAAGACAAATCTCAAACCAGACAAAACATTTACATGATGGTGTCAAGTGATCATAATGTAGCATCCCTCTTTGACTCTTTGATCTTGTCTTTATTGCCAACTGTGCTTCTCTTCATATTCGATAACAAAAAAGTTGAGAGGTGTTACAAAATACTCTCGCATCAGAGGAAAAAAATCCTGCTCTTAATGAGAAGGGATATGAGACAAAACACCTCAGAGATTCAGAGAAATCTACTGGACGCCCTTGTAACTAAGGAGTAATATGAATGCATTTATTGCAGAAGTGCAATATTGAGCAGATTAAAAAAGGAAAACCATGAAAATGTGGTAGATGCGTCTTAGAACAGAGAGTAGTCTGTTTTTGGCCTCTAGCTTCCAGGTAAGACTGGATCGGACATGTGCCTCTGGATTTCTGGTGATCCCTCCAGTGTGCTTGGATTCTCCAGACTGTCCGGGAGTGATGGGAAGCGCAGGTTTCTACACAGCAGTCCCGGGGGCTGTAGATGAGGCTCTCCTGTGGGCACAGCTAGCTCTGTCTCTGGGGACATGGACATGGTGTCATTGGAGGCAACTGTCAGGTGGATCCCACTGGACAAAGAGTCTGGAGACTTCTCTTTGAAGCTGTACAAGTCAGGGCTCTGTGTAATGTGGAAAACAGGTTTGGTTCAATACAGTCGTGCAACATGCTCACTACAATGATTAAAGAGCTAACAACAGAGATCAGTCTATCTCGCTACAGTCGCTATATTACCAAAGTCTGAAAGAGGATTGTCATATTTGGGGGGTCATCAAAAAACGTTTTCAAAAGAGGGTTAATTTAGAGACAAGGCAACATACAGCATCTCAATATTTGTATGAGTGTTTTATTTCCTCCTCCTTTTACTGTTTCCTCCTGTGCTATACGGTTTCATTGCTCATTAATGATAACTGCGATTAATCTATGTAATATGCGATTTACAAACCCACTTGTAAATATCACACCCTCCCTCTCTCAACCTACCTTGCCAGGCGATGTACTGTCAGAGATCTGTAAAGAGGGCATAGTGGTATGCGTTGCTGTAGTGTACAGGCTGGTGGGGTGAGCGGGGTGGGCCAGCGGTTCTGGGGAAACGGCGCTGTAGGCGGGGGGTACAGGTGCCATCTGCCTCTGCAGCAACTGCAGGATCACATTTATATCTGCTGTCATCCTGGTCTCCAGTCTTTAGAGAGAGAGAGAGAGAGAGAGAGAGAGAGAGAGAGAGAGAGAGAGAGAGAGAGAGAGAGAGAGAGAGAGAGAGAGAGAGGGAGAGAGAGAGGGAGAGGTTGGAAGGCAAATGCAGACTTTGCATTTAAAGCTTGTTTTTTCTTTGGACGTCGGACCTGTTGAGTTGCGACTGCAGCAGCTCCAGGCGGGCTTGCAGTTGGTTCGGTCTGTCCTCAACAAAGGGGCTGTGATGGTGGTAGCAGGCCTGCACTGCAGAGGAATGTCTCTTACTCTCAGAGTACTGACTGGCCCTGCGGTCGGGCAAATAGCTGTATAACCCCGACACATTCAGAGGAGCTGCTGTATGGATGAAGAATGACAGAATAATGGACAAGACCAAAATGATTAGAAAATGTCACACAAATTTGCAGATAAAAAAAATAAACATTAGCTAAATACCAATTTGCATACTTCTACCAAGTACAAAACGTATACTGCACTGGCTATGGTACAGGTGGCATGACATTTTTTTTCTAAATGTATTTGCATGTTCTAGATCGTATCCATGCATAATTGATGATTCTATTTTTAACATTTCTTGACCTCATAGTTTTTAATCAAAATTCCCAAAAAAGATTTTTCTCATAAATGAATAGTACTTTTGAAAATTGTTTAAAATAATGTCATATCAGTAGCATAATAAGAGTAAAAGCTGTTTTATTTTATTCGCTTCATAGGATCACATGATCAGATGAATTCCACCTGCTCTACATGATTTAAGCTGGATTCAAAACTCGGTGCAACACAGGCTCAATAGAGGCTCGTTGCCTCTACCTAACTTTTTTTTACATCATTTTCATACGCAATAGAGCTTTAGCCTTTTAGCGGCACTTCCCAGACATCTTATTTCCGAACTACTGTGCATGAACCTGCTTAATAAAATGTTGGCACTGTCACTTTTATCCGTTCTGGAGAAAATCGAATGTGAATCGAACTTACTGGAAATTTCACTTTGAAACTGCTGCAAAATGTACAAGCAACGTAATAACATTTTTACAAAAATGTCACCACAGGCACATATTTTTCATGACCCGGGGTTGATATTATGTTCAGTGTGCTGTGATTCAAGAAGCACCAATCCTTCTACCTGTGTACGGATGTACCCCTCCCAGTGTTCCTCCCGTGGCAGAAGCTGTGCTGTTGCCCGGGGGCAGATGGCTGACTGCAGAATGAGAGTATTCCTGCATCTCTGTCCCTGGTGAGTACATCTCCCCTCGGTCGGACACCAGGGGCTTCATGTCCTCCTCACTGGACAGGGAAGCAGCACTGGCATTGCTGCATAACTCATCCCAGTGTGAGAGCGGTATTGCCCCCCGATGGTTCCCCACAGGGGAACAGGACTGGACTGGGTACGTGTCCATTCCATCTCGGTCCATCCCATCTGGGTGATTTAAGAGAGAAGAGAAAGATCAAAATAGTATAGTCCTGCAGAAAAATATTTTTTGTGGCCCTCGTAGACTAGATAGGCACCATTACCAGGCCGATTTCGCTGTAGGGGGTTCCTCCGATGTCTGGGCCGACGGTACCCACAGTCTGAGTCCTCGCTTGGGGTTTGATGCATGATTCTGTCTGCCTGATACACACAAGCTTCAGTAACTCACATAATTACAGAACACGTACGGAAACATGAATAAAGACTTGCTATCATGCAATGTATTGTGTGTTTGAGTGGCTTACATCTCGAAGGTTGAATGTGATTTCCAGGTTGCTCCAGAAGTTGTCTGAAAAATCGGGGTACATGTCCAACACTTCCAGCAGGTCGTCTCTCAGGATCTTGTGCAGGTCACAGTACGTCAGAGCCCTCACGTCCGCACTTGATTTCCCTGGCCTGGCGTATAGACTGATGGGCTCCCCAAAAATGTCATTCTTACCTACAGTGAAAACAGGACGAGAGGCAGGTGGTTGGAATAATTGGAAGAGAATAGAAATAGAGAAAGAAGAACAATAACAGTTGGGTGCCAAATACTGTAGGTGTCACATCCACCAGCTGGAGTGCCCTTGATCTCCACCAGAGGGCACTCCTCCCTAGTCCATTGGCACCACTTCATGGACTACATTTCCCAGAAATCGCTGCCCGGTCTCATCATCCCTGATTGTTCTCAGCTGTTTCTCATTACCTTGTCAGTCCCTGCCTATATAAACCTGGTTCATTCAGAGTACGTTTACACGACAATGATGTGCTAAGAAACTAAAATGTTTTTTCTTTGTACAGATGACGGCTTTATCAAACCGATCCCCATCCACACAAATCTGTGAAAATGCTGCATATATGCATGCCGGACAAGTAGTTGACGATGTCACTTTGTAAATAAAGACTACGCGCACATTTTTCTCCCGAACGCACAAGCCTATAGACACAAATTACATAATCTATCTTTTTTTTGTCCAATTTTCTTTCTAAGGATGTTAATCTTGATAATACTGTATTATTATTTTGTCTTCTGGGTAAATTTCATCTTCACAAAGCCAGAATCATTCACTGTAATCCCAATTTTAGAATGTTCTCCTTTGATATAAAGTCCCTTTTTACTTCCTTTAAGACAATGCCACAAATGCTTCGGAAACATAGATCATCCTTGAGTCTGGTGTAAAGAACCTTTAATTTTTCATGATGACAAAATGTTATACTGTGTTGATTTGTGTAATTCTTATAAACCACTTGTGATGAATCATGATGTCTGTATGCCCCCCTTATTTCTTACTGTTAATATCTGTATCCTTTAATTTGCAACAAAAAAAAGCCTATAGACTAAACACATACTACGCATGTGCATGACATCACCGTTTTCACAGATTCGAGGTTTTGTAGTTTACACGGGGTTGATAAGGGTGTCGGTTTCAAAAAACATTCACATTGAAATCCGTTTTCAAAAGTTTGCGTTTTCAGGGCACCAAAACGCTGTTGTCGTGTAAATGAACATCCAAAACTCATAAAAAGTATTCCGTTTTTAGTTAAAAGCGGTGTCGTGTAAACAGCCCCTAAGTCACTCTTGGTTAAGTCTTGTTTGTGTCACCACACAGAATTTCCAAGCGCTCTGTCTTTCGTTTTTCATGTTTATGGTTTTGACTTTCTGCCTGGTTTCTTGGTTCTCCCTGTTTGCCTGTGTTCCTGTGCCCTGTTATTGTTTAGACCGTTTACCCTCTGCTTTTGACCTTTTGCCTGTTTATTGGATTACGTCTTTGGATTGCCCTTTAATAAAATACTGCATTTGGATCCTCAACCTTGTGGATGCTCAACCTATTGTATGTTGGGACCCTACACTGCTGACACAATATAATTGTAATAGTATTTCACAATAGTAGTGTTTTACTTTATTTATGATCAAATAAATGCAGTTTGGTGAGCATAAGAAACTTCTTTAAAACAAAATAAATAAAAATAAGCCAATAAGATCCAGTTACATCAACTTTCTGTGCAAAACTGACACAATAAATGTGAAGTTTACTAAAGTTAAGGCAGCAATTAAACTTTATTTTTCAAGCTGAAGTGAGTTCAAATTAATGAAGAATGAAGCAAAAGATAAAAACAGAATTAGGCAGAATTCCAACCTAAAATGGCCACCACGACATCCTCTCTGAGGATCTCTATGGAGCCGCGGGAGATGAAATATAGTGCGGTCAATACGTCTCCACTGTGCACCAGAGTGTCTCCAGGTGGGGCATGGGTGGTCTTAAAACGCATGGCCAGAGCACGCAAACAACCCTTGCTCGCCCCCCGGAATGCCGTACAGTTCTGCAGCAGACTGCGGTTCAGATGCAGACAGATGTCAGCTTGCAGACACTCCGGAAAACCCTTTAACACCTGGGAGAAAAGCAATTTTTGAAGAAATTTCACATTTTTATTAAAACAATTAAAAAACAAATTAAATTCAACCCCAGAAGCTTACCAGGAGTTTAAAAAGTAGCATATCAAGTACAAAGCATAAAATTGAAACTTTTTTCCTATGGAGGAGCTTTATAACATGCAGTTGAGGGGCCTGGAAGCCCCCTCACCATACTTTGAACACTGGGGAGGGAGTATACAAGTAATTTTACGTACTGCTGCAGGTTGAATTGCAGGGTATGTGGGTTTAACTCACAGCGTTCATGTCGATGCCATTAGTATAGGACCAGGCGTGCTGGAAATATTCTTCCAGTCGTTGCCGAAGGCCTCCTGGGATCTGATGGAACCTGATGAACTCTTTCACACGTAGCATCTGAGTGTGGTAGCGAGCTGTGCCTGAATACAACCTCTGAATTATAGCAGACACATTGCCAAAGATACTGGCATACATCAGGGCTGGAAAGGAAGAAGATCAAAGACTATCATCAGCAAAGAGAATGGTACAAACAATATATTTTTTAATTTATTTAGATTATATACACACACTACCGTTTAAAGTTTAGGGCCATTTTTTAAATAAGTCTCTTATGCTCACCAAGGCTGCATTTATTTGATCAAAATACAGTAAAAACATTTCTAATTATTATCAATGTTGAAGACAGTTATGCTGGTTAATATTTTTGTGGAAACCGTTATTCATTTATTTCAGGATTCTTTGATGAATAGAAAGTCCAAAAGAACACTATTTATTTGAAATAGAAGTGTTTGTGACTTTATAAATGTCTGCACTGTAATTTTTATAAACTCAAATTAATGTGTCTTTGCTGAATTTGAAAAAAATCTTACTGACCACAAACTTTTAAATGGAAGTGTATAATAATGTTTAAGATTTGAAGACTTAGTTGTCATGTCTAATAAAGATAATGAGTGCACTTACAGCCAATGAGCATGACACAAATGGAGAAAATCTTCTCAGGGTTGGTGTTAGGAGAGACGTTTCCAAATCCCACACTGGTCAAACTACTGAAAGTGAAGTACAGTGCAGTTACATATTTATCCTTGATGGAGGGGCCGGAGAAGGAGTCACTGTCATTGTAGCGCTTGCCAATCTGGTCAGCCAGGTTGTCCAGCCAGCCGATCTTCATGCCTCCGATACGGGCAGAGCTGGTGCGCTCCACATTTCCAATGGCGTACCAGATGCATGCCAGCCAGTGGGCGATGAGGGCGAAGGTGCACATGAGGAGGAAGAGAACTGCTGCGCCATACTCAGAGTAACGGTCCAGTTTCCTCGCTACTCGCACCAATCTCAGCAGCCGTGCAGTCTTTAGAAGGCCAATCAGAGTGGTGGTTTGAGGCTGGAAGGAGGAGTTTGAGAGGATTAGTTTGCATTTCATAACAATCACTCTTATTTTTAATTTGTCTGCCTGACTGTGACGGAATGGTATTTATGACCTTCTTTCTTCTATGGCACACATAAGTGGAATCTCTGAAGAAGTCTTAGCCACTTCTGTACATGTAATGAAAGGACTTGAGCCGTCAAGTTTTCAAAAAAGCACCGTAAGACTATCAAAGACTCTTCTGAATTGATTGGAAAACTTTATGTGAGGAACAAATCACTATTCACAAATAACATTTTCTCCACTGAACTGCAGTGTTTTGCAGTCAGTGATTTAAACAAGTCATTCAGGCCAGTTTTATGAACTGGATCAAACGATTCATTAAAAAAGATCTGACTCAAAAGAATGATTCATTCACATATTGGATATTACTACTACTCTCATGAACTCTTGACTAGGGCTGATATCAGGATTTGAGACCTACATTTTGGTTTGTTCCTCATACAAATCTAGTATGGCTTAAGTAGTCTTTTAATTAAGGGGGTGAGGAAATTAAGGTTCATTAAGGGGGTAATGAACGAATACCCCTTTGAGAGCTGCTAAGCACTTAAAAGATCGTCATTTTCAAGAACAATGTAGTCAATGTGAGTTTAAACATAAATCTAAAAATGCATATAAATGCTTCCAGTGTGTTTATATGCAAATCCATACTTACATAAAATAATTAATCACTATAATCAGACTCTGGTTTTCATGAGCAAAAATGGCAGATTTCAAATGAAATACTTCTGGAAACCGTTACTGACAGAAGTAAGCAATAAGTATGAATTATTAACATATGAACATATGAATTATTAAAATGGCTGCTGTTTCATCATTCTGTGAAGGTGACCTTCCTCAATATGGCAGAATCTACATGGGAATAAATCATTCAGCATACCAAACACAATCAACATTATTACACTGCGATCAATATTCTAGATGATTCATTGATTAGTCTGAGCGGTTCTTCTAAAGGTAGAATGCTTAACAATTGTACGTTCTGTTCTAGCTGTACATCTGAAATATCATATACCATATCATATACATGTATTCATATACCACCTACTTAGCACATCACAATCCTCACCTCATCTGAACCTGATCTGAAAATGAGCAGGTCGAAGGGAACCGCAGCCACAATGTCTATGAGGAACCAGCCCTTGATGTAATGCTGAGCGATGCGAACAGGATTGCTGACAACCTCGTCGTTGTGATTGACATAAGTGGTTCTGAAATTGATGAGGATGTCGATAATGAACATGACATCCACCACCAGGTCCACTACATTGAGGGGGTTGCAGGTGTAGCCGCAGGTGCGCCTCCTCTCGTCCTCCTGCTCGTTGAGGAGAAAGGCAGCGGAGTAGGGTGTGAAGACGGCTGTGTAGAGCACCAAGAGTAGGATGATCCAGTCCCATACTGCTTTGAACGGGCTGTAGTGGAGAATTGTCCACTTGTGGATGCGTGGAGCTTGAAGCTTGTACTCGGGAAGCACATCTGCCCCGAGTGACAGTACCTGGGAAGAAAAGGAGGGATATTCAGAGGATGTCATGGGGTATCTTTAATTGAAATTCCATTGATGCAAAGGGTCAAGGTTAGCATCGCCGACAGTTTTGCTGGCAGATTTCATAACTACAGCATTCATAACTACTTTTTGTTAATTGAAATAAAGCTGAAATAAAATAAAGGTAACACTTTACAATAAGGTTCATTAGTTAACATTAGCTAACTACCTTAGTTCACATGAACTAAGCATGAACAATACTTCTTCAGCATTTATTAAAAGGATAGTTCACCCAAAAATGATAATTAACCCATGATTTACTCACCCTGAAGCCATCCTAGGTGTATATGACATTCTTCTTTCAGACGAATACAATCAGAGTTATTAAAATGCCCTGTCTCCTCCAAGCTTTATAATGGGTGAATGGCTGGAAAAAAAATTTAAGACCAAAAAAAGTGCATCCATCCATTATAAAAGTAATCCATGTGGCTCCAGGGAGTTAATAAAGGCCTTCTGAAGTGAGGAAGCCATGCATTTGTGTAAGGAAAATACCCGATATTTAAAACTTTATAAACTATAACTACTAGCTTCCGACAGACGGCCGTACGAATCGATTTACGGTGGAAGACTAACCCCTGACCCGAAGCACAGCGTAATGACGAACACGGAAGCTCAGAGGAAAGAGCAAAACAAAACACCAGTCGCGAATTGCAAGTCGACTTACGTAGTAAAGGTACGGTTGTCTGGCGGAAGCTAGTTATTTTAGATTATGAAGTTATAAATAAGGGCATTTTTCTTACAAAAACCCATGGCTTCGCTTCAGAAGAACTTTATTAACCCCCCGGAGCCGTGTGGAGCATTTTTTTTATCATGGATGGATGCACTTTTTGGGCTTCAAATTTTCTCTAGCCATTCACTACCATTATAAAGCTTGGAAGAGCCAGGACATTTTTTAATATAACTCCTATTGTATTCGTCTGAAAGAAGAATGTCATGTACACCTAGGATGGCTTCAGGGTGAGTAAATCATGGGCTAATTTTCATTTTTGGGTGAACTAACCCATACGTTATTAAAATCAAAAGTTGTATTTGTTTACATTAGTTAATGTACTAAACTAACATGAACAAACAATGAATGACTGTATTTTTATTAACTAACATTGACAAAAATGAATTAATACTGTAACAAATGTATTGCTCATTGTTAGTTCATGTTAGTGTCAGGACTCTGGTTTTATCATCAGCCTTTCTGTTGTATTTGTTTTGTGTCTTGGTTGTCAGTTTCTCTCACTCTGCCATCACTGCTGCACCTCATTCTAATCAGTTCTCCTTACGCACACACCTGCCCCCAATTTGCATTGATTTTCTCCACTACTTCTCTCTTTCTTTGCTTCTCTGTCAGTGTGTCTTGGTTACCATCCGTTTCACTACTGTCCTAAAACAGTCTTGTTCTAGTCGTGGCCAGTTTACATGCCTTGTCTGTTTATTTAATCTTGTTTGGTTTCCCCTCTGATTTGCCCAGTCTCTGTACTCAGTCCAGTTTCGGCTCGCTCACCTGGTTTTGATTTTCTGCTCTTGTTTTGGACTATTGCATTGGCTCTACCCTGGGGCTGTGGTTCTGCCTCTGGTTTTGACCCCTGCTGGGCCCGTTTCTCCATATCGTCTCTCTCTTGGGGTTGTTACCTCGCTGAACTGACTTCTGGCTTTTCTCCTGCCTGCCCCTTGGATTTCGCCACTGCCCCGCCCTTTTGCTCGGTTGCAAATTATATTTGTGTTTTGTTTTTTTCTTTGCATTTTGGACAATAAATTGAGTGAACTGCTAATCTGCTCTAGGGTCCCTTTTTCATCCCAGCACCCCTAACAGTTAGTTAATACGTTAACTAATGAACCTTATTGTAAAGTGTTACCAAAATAAAATGTAAATTAGTTGAAAAACTTAAACTAAATGAAAATTTGAACAAACTGAAATAGGTTGAAGCACTTAAATGACTAACTGAAAATAAAATAGCAATAAAAAAGCTAATGAAAATGACAAAAGCATTAATTAGCATAACAAAATTGTCGGCAACGATAGCCTCGTGGGCAAGTGCGCCGTTGTGCTTCGGGCGACCCGAGTACGAGTCCTGGCTCGTAGACCTTTCCTGATCCCGTCCCCCCTCTCTCTCTCTCCCACCTCACTTCCTGTCTAGCTACTGTCCTATCCTGAATAAAAGGCAAAAATAAATCGAAAAAAAAAAAACATATAAGCATAACAAAATTACAAAAATTTATTTAAAATGAAAACTAAAAACAAAAGCTTATATAAAAATATTAATTAGCATAACAAAATTGTCAGCGCCGATAGCACCAAAACTGGAATTCTCTTCCCCCTCATATTCGTCCCATAGACTCCATTTCACAGTTTAAAACCACTCTCAAAACTCATCTTTTCAAGTCAGCCTAAACTTTAAGCACCTCACCTCTCCCTCCATCAGCATTAGCCTGTTGGATGCTTTTATACTTTTATGCTTTTATATTTTTAATTATACATTTCTTTCTCTTAATAGCTAATACTATTTTTACTTGTTGTAAGGTGACCTTGGGTGGTCTGAAAGCCGCCTAAAAAATTAAATGCATTATTATTATTATTATTATAACAAATATAATAGCATATAAATAATACCTGCTAAAATAACACTATCTGTAACTATCTAAAATTAGTTGTATTCAGACACAAGGCAATATATGAATTGCATATATTTCCTTATATACAGTAATGCATATATAAGGTATGCATATATAGCTAATGAAATTATTCAAACAAACATGTCTACTACAAGTTGAAGTCTACGAGTAAAAGTGTAAAATGTTAGAATATACCTCAATAGACCCAAACACACGCACAAGGAGATACATTGGACACTAGATGATATCTTGTTCAAAGGCATTTTTTAAAAAAACTGACATTTCTCTCGATGCTTTGAACTATTGTCAGATCTCATTTTAACCCAGAGCACGAAACATCTGCAGACATCTGCTCATCTTTCATGCTTTGTTCTTCAAGATATAAGCCTCCTCTTCCTCTTGACATGTGCCATTATTAAAAGGAAGGGCAGCAGCCAAGTCCTTCAGACAAGAACCAATTTTAAAGGGCACGGACTGAAGAAACGCGCCACAGGGGGTCTGTCTTTGAGCCGAGTGTATGTTAATCGACCACACTGCTTGAAGTGGTGTAAATGTAATGCTATAGGAGAAATGACAGAGAAATAAACAGGAAAAAGAACCAAACCTTGAAGAGTCTGTCAGTATTTATTCTCCTTATTCTGTTATTTCAAATTTTGTGAAAGATATTTTACACACAAATGCACACACACACACGCACACAATTAGAAAGTATGATCTAAGTAGTCTGTATGACTTGATCTGCCTCTGAAGTCACACAATAGCTTTGTGTGAGGAACAGAGCCATTTTAAATCAAACACGCCAACATGAGACCTATAGGCCTTATTCAGAGCAGCGCCATGACAGGTATGAGAGCAAGGCTGTGAGAGTGTTTTCAAGCTGTATAAAGCTCCTAGATCACTTATAATTTTCCACAGCTCATGATGTCTGGAGTTTTTTGTCTACTGAAATTTCTTGGAAAGATATTTTTGCAGCGTTTCGTTAGCAGAACAATCAAAAAACACATTAAATAACAGTACAACCCACTGTAGAGATGTATGTCTAGCCCTCACAGCCTCGCTTTCATTCCCATCAAAAATCAAAGATTGCGCTGCCGTGTATAAGGTCTATGGCACAGGTTTGACGTCATGACTTATGTTAAAAAGACACTTAAAAACCAATGACGTTTGAAGTTATTGACATCCAACCTTCACTATTCACAGTCAACTATTTCACACTCTCTCGGATATTAATAGCTAAGGTTTGTATTGTGTCACTGAGAGGCTTATGTGGTCTGGATCAGTTCATCCATTCACATTCACATCACGTCAGAACAGACTCCAGCTTTCCATTACCTCCCTCGACTCTGATCAAAGATCAATCGCTGACCATGGCTCTTAAAAACAAGGGTTCCACAAGGGGGTTTTCATAGAGATGATTTTTTTTTTTTTTTTTTTAGAAAACAATTCTTAAAAGAACCATTTCTTATTTTTTGCAGTGTGAAGAACATTTTAATAATCTAAAGAACTTTTAGGTTCTTTTTCCACTATAAAGAACCTTTTGTGCAATATAAAGTTCCATGGATGTTAAAGGTTCTTTATGAAACCATAGATGCCAATAAAGAACCTTTCATTTTTAAGAAAAAGCAAGAAACGTCACTGTACATTGTATCTAATAGAGACAAAAATCCCCAAAATAAATAAAAAAATAAACAAAACCATTTTTTTTTATGTTCAACACATTAAGTCAACAAGTATGCAGCTGGCCTATATGTAACTGCTGAACTATTTCACACTGAGACCTATTTTCTGCCTGAGCTTTTCTCCAACAGAAAATCACACCATTAGCAGCCCATGATTACTGCTTGCACAGACGACCATGGCAACCACTGGCTGCCATGGAAACTACAATCGGGGAACATCAGTCATGTGGAAAAAGTTGGTCGATTTTTTTGGGAAAGTGTTCTTTTGAAAGAGTTCTAGATTACTCTAACAGTTGTCATGGTATTGCAAATGCTATATTCAAGCATTGATAAAATCTCCAAAAAAAAATTTGTTGAAATTAGTATGCATTGCAGTTTTCCTTTCTTTTTCTTTTACACAAATTTCTGAACACATGACAACCTAATGCAAATCACAGCCTTATGCGTTTTCACTGTCAAGGAAGTAATGAATGTGAAGAGGCATGTCTTTTTCTTATTTTCAGACGGTTTGAATATAATTCAGGGCTTTTATTTTCCTTTAGCATTTAAGGGCTCAGAATTGCCTTTGTTTAAGCAGACGAATGGCTTCATTTAAGCAAATAATAGCTTTGTTGTGCAGAGTTATAATGTAATTTACCTGCAGCCACTTACTAACTATTTAAGATGATG